AGCAGCGCAGGGGACCGTAACACAGTGCAGCCCTGGTGATGATCTCGAAGCAGCGCAGGGGACCGTAACACAGTGCAGCCCTGGAAACGACCAGAAGGGGACCGAGACAGTGCAACCCTTAAGGTGGAGATGGTGGAGTTCCATCTGCCTGAAAAGCGTCCGAGTTGCCCTTTTATAGGCAGGGTTGAGATGCGTGGGAGTACCTGCACAATGAAGTAGCTTCAGGTGGGGTGCGTTCCAGTGGGGGTGAGCTTGGTGGGGTTGATATCGGCGCTGCCGAGGACAGCGCCCTCGAGAGGGTACTAGCGGAGCGCTTTGAAAGCTCCGCTACACAAATAATTTAAAATATAATACTAAAATAAAATACAAGCAAGAAACAAAACCCAGCGTGGGATGAAAAAGTACACATAATGTAATTCCTCGTGAATAATTTATTGTCAAATTAATAAATGATTAAAAGTGGAACACATATTATTTATAAATTTTACAAAATCAAAAATACTACTTTTTCCAGTTCATAGTATTGTGAAGATGGTGAAACCCTATCTAAATTTTATCTATTCGTTTATGAATGTGTGGTATAGGTAATCTGCTCTTTTATCTGCGTTTATAATTTACCCTTAGATACTTTTAACTTTACGTGCGAGTTTTCCATAAAACAAAAATTGGACCATCAAATTTATGCTTCCAATGTTTGTTTGTTAGCTATTGTAAAAAAATCATATCTATTGTCTATATTTATTAAAAAGTGAGGTGACCATTTAAATGATAACAAATATGACAACTAATAATTATTTATATCAATATTTCACGATACATACCTTACGGATAGAGATGCGAATGCGTTCTGAGAAGGCGAATGAGTACAATTACTTGAAGGCGTATAATGTGAACTTATTGTGGAACGGCAGACGTGCATATGAATAATGCCGCGTGATCGTACCGTGTAATTAAAACAAAATCCACGCATGGCGCTGGCTATGCACTATTACTCGTGCACTCTTTTTTACTTGACCATTTGAATTATGGATCGAAATGTGTTTGGAGCACGATGATTTCTCGTTGTGGGCGTAATACAGAATCTTCTTTATCTTGGGGGTCTAGACTGCAAGCAAAAGTAGCAGAATTTAAAGTAAATTCTCAACTCAAAAATAAAAAATGAAACACATGAACATTAGAGTTTTCATAGCATACTACGTCACCTCAAAATTTCTGTGGCATTAGTGCAAAACTCGACAATAGTTTACCACAGGTACATACTAATTTAGGAACGAAGAGTTCATTATCATCACTATGCAGGTTTATTGTACTCATATTTCATATATATGTATTATTAATTCTTCATTAATGATTTCCTTTAATTTATTTTAATGATTTTTGAAAATTATTATCCAAGTACTAAAATGACCAAAATTTATGTATTTAGAAACAACTAAACTTATATCAAATTTACAGGAATTATTTAAGAATTTCTGAAAATTAATTTCCACTTTATACCAGAATTACACTGAAATGATATTAATTTTTTACAATAATTGCGGTATTATTTATCATAAAAATACTCCTTTTATTCGACCACGTAATTACGGACTATTTACTCTGGAAATACATATCGTAAAATAAATTTACAACGTATTTTATATAAAAGCATTTTTTTTGGCCATACCCAAGTTTCATCCCGATTACCTGATTTAATGATAGTTACATTTTTGAGATGGTCAAGTTCCGGGTCGGGCAGGTACGGTTTGTTTATTACGAGGTAAAGAGAATTATCAAATCTTCTTACAATAACGTTTAATGTTTTTATTTCAGATATTTTTAAATTTATCTCAGTATTATTACATTTTCAAACAGATACATATAAGTGTCAATCTAAATATAAAAATGAACACTCGAGATAAACTGTATAAAAAGCAAATATTTTCTTGACGCTCAAATACACTGTTAGACAGAAAAACCCGGACACTTGATTTTTTTGTGATTACCTGCAATTGATCCAACTTTTGTCAAAGATATTCTAAAAAGCAAAACATTATTGTATTTACTAACAGAAAACATGACTTTATTCTAAAACAGGTGGAACACAAGAGTTACAAATATTTAAATGTTCGGGTTTTTTTGACTGACAGTATATTTAAATTACTATTATTATTATCATTATTTTATTCACCCAAAGACAAATATGTCTAAACGGGCGCCAAATACGATTACAAAATACCACTTATAACTACATACGGAATTAAAATAAAACAAATACAAATGTATTATATAACATTTGTTGATAGAGTAGCGGAAACAAGATTATACAATTTCTCTAAACTAGAGCAGAAACTATGGACAAATGGTTGAATATTGTTATACTGTCGCTGTCGACACATGTATAAAAGAGACGAGCTCATGTGCTGATTCGAATTAGGAGTGTTAAACACAAATGTGACGTTCGATCCAATGCGCATACGCGGCACCTTAAAATTTAATAAACCTAACAGTTCAGGGCAGTCAACACGATAATGTACAATGTTATACAAAAATACTACAGACAATAGTTGACGCCTAATATATAAAGGTTCTAATTTAAATTCGGTAACTAATACACTGTATGCATAGTTTTGTACAGGATAATGGTTGTATTTTCTAAAATAGAGCTAATAAAAGGGCAATTCCAATAAAGGGCATTATGTACGTGTGACATACATAGCGCTATGTTTGACTCAACAGAAGAATTTATTTTTTGCAACTTTTTCACCTCCATTTCAAAATTGTTTATAATGTTTAGTACGCGCTGTAGTTGTCACTGTCATATGAATTGTGTTGCAGTCCAAATTACTTTACAGTCCAGTAAAGTGGTAGATTATGGACTGTTGGAAGTGTCATAAATATTTGAGTCAAACATAAAGTATATTATGATATTAATTTATAATGCAAGGGATTATGGCATGAATGAAATTTTAGCTCATGAGCGCAGCAAATGCGCTAATTTCATGAACTGTTGTTCACAATCTTGGTTATCACAGGTAGTTTTAGAAGAATTACTAATATCACAGAAAGGATCACGTTTCTTTGAGGGCATATCGATGATCTGCACGTTATTTATACAGGTGTCACTGTTATTCTGTGCACTTGATATTAGAAACACAGTTTTAAAATGGTCTGCAAAACCGTTCATTATTTCTTGAGCTGTAGAGAGTGGGTTTCCTTCTAAAATCATTCTACCGGGAATCCGTGTGGTTTTTTTCTTGGTGTTTATGTAATTCCAGAAATCATTCGAATTTGTTGAAATTCTGCACTCAATGTTGTGAATAAAATTCCTATACTGATCTTTCTTAAGTTTGTCATAATACATTTGTAGTTTTGTTCTCTTATAAAGACTTCTATAACGATTTCTCACCTTTATTTTATTAATGCTCTCCTTAGTGAATCACGCTGGATATCTCGAGGTGTATACTGGCTTTTTTGGAACATACATATCAGCGACAGAAAAGATTTTATTGTAAAGCAGATCAGATGCAAGATTAACATCAGTAACACATCAAATATCCGACCAGTCTATATTCTGAAAGGCAGCATACATTCCCGGAAAATCGGCTTTAGGGAACTGGTACTTTAGACTGGTATTGTCTGTTTTAAATCTAACCTCCCTGTGTTCACGTACTAATATTTCAAATTCGAGACAGGGATGGTGAGAATCCTCGTCCACCACGGGATCAATTTTCCGGGAGACAGTAGCGTCAATAGAGTCAGATGTAATGATTAAATCTAGAAGTCTATCGTTGAGATTAAGAATTTTGTTTTTTTGGCACAAGCAGTTAAAATCTAAGAAATTGAGCAAAGCGGTGGTTTTACTCGATGACGTTGCCATAGTGCAATAGGTAGAGAAACATGGAAGATTGAAATCCCTGCGATAATCACTTCTTTATACTGATTAGCTTAGGCTCGGGAAGTAAAAAATTTCAGCTGCTCATGTGTTATAAAATTACCAAAGTTCTACAATTTACTTGTCATCTGTCAATTGAGGAAGTGGTTATGGTAACTTGACTTACTTATTCTCGAGGTGCGTTCAAGAATTTCTTCTGCATTTCTAAAATCGAATGCGATATTCCAGAAGTAAAAGTTTTCTTCCCTTTTTTTCTACATTTACGTGTATTAGTTTTGTTTCTTATTTGTCCAAATTATGGTTCTCCTTAATAAGGTGTTGTTGAATAGTTGAAAACTTACACGAATCCAAATAAGGCTCACTCCATTTTCCCGAATATTTGGAAACTATAAATGTTTGCTTTCAAATAATTAATTTCTTTTTCAGCACCCCGCGTTATTTTTTCTTGTTACTTTTTTTTATTTTGCAGTTTTTTGATGAAATTTCCTTTTTCGAAAATAGTCTGCTGAAGTTCATCAATAACATTTTTTTTGCCAGGAACCGGTCATTTTGACGTAAATTCAGCCACATTATAAATTGCTGGAATTGCGTTCTCACATATTTTGCATTCACTTCAAATATAAAATTTTCTTTTTTGAAGTGAACCTGTTGACCAAGGATTAGATGGAAAATACAGTTTTGGACAACAACCTCGCAGATGTAAGCCATTTTGCCAATTTTTCAAGATGGATATTGCATCTGATCTCTCCATTTGTTAAGTAATACATATCTTGTTTTCGGGGCATTTAAACAATACGAAACCATTTCCCTCTGACTTGCAAGACAATCTCTCTTTTCTGATGAAGATTCTCCACGTATTTGCGATGTCCTCGCCAGAGAACTATTTCTAGAAAGTTAAGATCTTGATCTTTTGGGCATTTTAAAATGATAATATCTGGAAGAATACCAAGTACAAGATATAACACTGATAGTAGGTGACTTCAATGTTCCAGAGTTTTATGCGTGTATTACAAAAGCCAAGAATTCCTCGTCAAGATACCAGATACTCAACAATTTTTTGAATTTCAATCAGTTGAAACAGCACAATTATGTCACAAATAATAATAATAGAATCCTAGATCTTGTAATGTCAACGGAGAAAATAACATACAATATCAGTCGGCTGGTAACCCCGTTGGTAGGTGAAGATCTTCATCATCCATCTTTGTTGGTTAGTTGACTATAAATTCAAAGCAACGTAAAAATTTCGAAACCCAGATGGACATTGTTCGATATAATTTTAGAAAAGCTGATTTTCTGGGGTTATATGATGCTTTGATGAAAATGGAGTGGTCCGACATACTAGAGATACATGATGTGAATGATATCTGCGCATATTTTTATGACAATATATATGAGATGTTCGAGATATATGTCCCGAAGACGAAGGTGGTAACAACTCATTTTCCCCTCTGGTATTCGTCAACTACTATCAAAATGATTAAGAAGAAGAACCGTATATGGAAATCGTATAAGATATCTCACATATTATCATGTAAAGAAGCAGCGCGAAAACTGGAGGAGCAAATCAAGATAGAAATCAAGAAGGATTTTCGTAATTTTCAAAGGTCCGCTGAAGCTAATATGAAATCTCATCCTGCCAGATTTTGGTCATACGTTGCAACAAAGAAAGGTAGAACGCGTATACCAGGGAGAATGATTTATAATGGGCAACCGATATCTACACCTAGAGATATTGTCAATTCATTTGCGGATTGTTTTAGTAGTCTATTCGAGCCAGCAAGCTTCGTAGAGAGTAGGGATGGTGTATTTGGTTGTGGTAATTCCCGTGAAAATACAATAGCAGACATCGGAGAAGACGACGGATTTGAGAATCTAGGTTGTTCTGTAAGTGTTCTTCATACATTTTGTGTAACGGATGGTGATATTTTACAAGCTGCGAAGAAGCTTAAGTCAAATTTAACGAGTGGTGATGACAGCATCCCAGCATTCATAGTGCGTGATTGTATAAGTGTTCTGTTGTTACCTTTAAGTCATTTATATAATTCTATAATTTCATGCGCTGTGTATCCTGAAGTTTGGAAAATAGCAAAGTTATTCCTTTGTTCAAATCTGGCTCTAAAGAAGATGTGGATAAGTATAGACCAGTTGCAATCATTTCAAATTTCGCAGATTTTTCAGAGTATTCTTGTCAAGTATATGTATAGCCACGTTAAACAGATGATAGTAAGCCAACAACATGGATTTATGCCAGGCAGATCCACAACCACTAATTTATGTAATTTTTCGCAAGATATGTCAAACTTATTGGATCAACAGTTACAAGTAGATGTGGTTTATACGGATGTCAAAGGCGTTTGACAAAGTCAGCCATGCGTTATTGATAAATAAACTCATTGAGGTAGGTTTGTGTGACAAGTTGATCCAATTATTTCAATCAATCCTTGTGGGTCAGAAACAGTATGTCTATTACATGTATTGTAAATCTTATATGTATGAGTGCAGTAGTGGGGTGTGCCAAGGTTCGAATTTAGGACCATTGTTGTTTACTATCTTCATAAACGGGTTAATAGCATTACTAAAGAAGCACTGTAAAGTGTATACGTATGCTGATGATATAAAATTTTTAAAACCTATTCGGAATGTGACTGACTGTGAAGCATTCCAAAATATCGGGAGCATCTTTTATGAGTGGTGTAATGATAATAGATTGGAAGCGAATGGTAGTAAATGCAAAGTTATGACATGTAGCCGAAAAATACATAATATATTATATAACTATAAGATAATCAGGAACTAGAGAGGTGTAATGTTTATAAAGATTTAGGGGTGGTAATGGATCCGTCACTGTCGTTTGTACATCATATAGAGTATATTTGTAATAAAGCAATGCGAATGTTGGGGTTCATAATAAGAAATACAAAAGATTTTACAAATGTGGACTGTATTTTAATGTTATATTATGCTTATGTCAGATCAGCACTTGAATATTGCTCCATAGTCTGGAGCCCACATTATATTTCGCACATAACTCTTTTAGAAAAAGTACAGAGAAAATTTTGCAAATTTGTATTTTATCGTAAACACGGTGTATATCCTGTTCAAGAATTTTCACATCACGAATTGTTAAACGAATTCCAACTTAGTCCTCTAAGTAGTAGACGTGATTTATCCTCGTACTATTTCTATTTAAGATTCTTCATAATGAAATTTGTGACAGTTCTTTACTTAGAGAAATACATTTCAATGTTCCTCGCCTCGAAGCTAGAAACTCAAGATCTAGCTCGAACAAATCAACAAAACAATTCCCCAGTTTATATAATGTGTCGTTTATATAATAGCATTCGATATTTTTGCCGTTTCACGAAGTGTTTTTGGTACTAAAGCAAAATTAGCACTGTCTGGTAATTTGTAATATGGTTTAAGTTATTTGTTTGTCATAATTTATTGTAATTATGTGTAATTCATTTGTTATTTTAGTAAGTAATTTAATGTAATTTATTGTATTAGGATTTTTTTTTGTTTTTTCTTTTCGTTGTATTTCCTATGTGGGCTATACCCGTTGGATATAGTATTTAACATTACTAGCAAGGTAAAAGGGTTTTTACTGGCGGACAGAAGGATATGACTGGCGAGCCGCAGGCGAGCCAGTCACCTTCTGGAGCCAGTAAAAACCCGTTACCTTGCGTGTATTGTTCAATATTTTATTTGTTTCTCACTTGTAAATAACTATTATAAGTTATTAAAACCTCTAGAAGGTCCAATATTTGAAGAAACATCGTATGAGCTTTAGACGTATTGCCTTGGAAACGCATGTCAGCATCGCACTTGTCATAGCATTTACTGTGTTGTCTAGTCCTGTCATTTAGATTTTTCGATTTATCGTTTTCGATGTAATGAAATGAGTGTGGCGCAAGCTATATTACTGAGGAAGCAGCAGTTGTAAGTGAAAATTTACCTGAATCAATTTTGGCTGTCATTTCAACTTATAGTAGTTTAAAATGTTTAAAATACATGGCGGTATGAACACGACCAGGGCTGTAAATATTTTACTGGCAGCCAGTAACATTTTTTCAGGCTATAGCCAGTTAAGTGACATTTTCATGGTGAATACAGTGACTTTGTAAATTGATGCTTACAAGTGAGGAACAAGTAAAATCAATTAAATCAATAAAAACAAATTTAAAGTGCCTTTGTACTAAATTATTTGCTTAACTTTTTATTTCTCAAAAGAACTTTTGGTTAATTTTAAAAAGAACTTTTTTGTTGAGATTAAATACCTACTAGACGAATTTAAAGTGAATTCAAAATATTCTCAAGCGAAAATTATTCGATTCCGCACACGGCCGGCTGCGTAGGGAGCCAACACTTTATTTTTTGACATTGTTGTGACATAACTGTAATAGCTAGACATATGGTTTCCCGGCAATACTTTCCGCAGGGTACGCTATATAACGATTTTTTTTTGGTATTTTTTTCACACGTTGGCTACATTATCGAAGTTTTCATACGGATCCCTAACGTTCTTGAAAATATTCTATCGCCCTGTCAGGGATAATGTAGGATTGTAATGGTAAATTGGATTGGATTCTGGATTCTTAAATTATGGGGGCTGACCGTAGCCAGCCGGCACTTAGGCCTCGCCTTTGGGCCCATTGTACCTTCCCCAAGTCCATATCAGGGTGTTTTCCCGCTCCTCTACTCGTCAAGCCACCCAACTGCTTGTATGTACTTGAGTAATGCAGAGGGTGGAAACTCCCTGATATTTGCCATACTAGGCCAGATGTCCCCTAGTATGGATTCCCTGTAGGAGGCTAGGGCTGGACACTCACGAAGAATGTGCTCAGCTGTTTCCTCTTCTTCATTGCATCCACGACAGATTGGGTCTGTTACCACCCCTATCGTATGTAGATGTTTGTTAAACTGGTAATGTCCCGTAAGGAATCCTACCAGTTTACGCAGTTTGTCCCTTGAAAGTGAGAGATAAAATTTCGTCAACTTACGGTCTGGTGTCGCCATACAAGCTCTACTATGCCGACAGCTGCTCAATTTCACCCATATCTGCTCATGGCGTCTCTGGGTATATTGCTTTACGAGTTCGTTCGAGAGGGCGACCGAAGGCGTGATTGCCGGTTCGGGTCCCCAGAAGGGCATGCGCGCGGCTCGCTTCGCCATCTCATCTGCCCTCTCGTTTCCTTCGTTGCCACTGTGTCCTTTGATCCAACAAAGTTCCACACTATTCCTCTGCGTTACATACTTTAGCGTTTGTCTGCACTCCCAAACCAGCCCGGATCGAACCATACAGCTGTCCAGGGCTAGTAGTGCAGACTTGCTGTCAGTAAGTATGCGTATTGATTTGTTGCCGATTTCACGTTCAGCAATGATTCTAGCTCCCAGCATTATTCCCATCAGTTCTGTTTGTAAGACAGACGTGTGGGTGCCGTGAGGTACACTGATTTGTGCGTTCAGTTGTGATTGTAATGGTAAAAGAATCCAAGTTGATATACGTGTCCTTTTAAAACTGTTTATGACGTCATAACAAAATTTTGTACTAATTTCTGTAGCACGCTTCTTTACTACTTTGATGTAGGAGTACATATTTTTATTTTAAGTTACAAAGGTTATCATAGAAAAATTAAATTCTCAAAATTAAATCTTATAATTTTTTAAAAACGCTGGATTTGTTGTACTCTGCTTCATGGGCGTGGGAAGTTCTTTAGGAATAACCTTCGACCAATTTTTTAGAACCGCTTTTAAAGGGTGACCCAAAAGAATTTATAAATGAGTCATCTCAAAATTTTGTAAAGTAAAAACTAATTTGAAACATACGTGTAGCACGCTTCTTTATATTTGCTTTAACATTACATACATATGTGTATTTCAACTTATAGGTGTTCTAAAAAAAAACAATTAAATTCGCAAAATCCAATATTATAATTTTGCGAAATTGCTGAATGTTTCATTGTACTACAGAGGCGTGAGAATTTTGTCGAAACAATCACCAATTTTTTTATGATGCTATCTAGATTTTTTACAACTTCAATTTCAAAGTTCCCAGTCCTGCTGATGCCAAAGTTTGCCATATCGTCGGGCAGATGAAGATCTTTCTTCTCTACATCTCTACTTATATTAATTTTGAATATGTACATTATATTCAACAAATTTAAGTAATTGAAGTCTCTTGTATGTCAAAATTTTAAACACAAAATTGCTGTGTTGTACTTTTAAAAAATTACAAAAAAGTATCCAAGAAAGCTACGAGAACGTATTTTGTGTACTATTTTTAAAAGTCATATTTTTAAAAGTTTGGAGCTTGAAAGAAATGTTCCCCTCAGAATCGGATATTTTTTAAATTTTCGAATATGTAGGATTTGGGCAAAATCCCGTTGTTTGGACGAGAGAGTGTTTGTCGCAGATAGCATTAAAGCTAAAGGGATTTTCATACGCCTTGAGATAATGTACTTCATAAATAGCTGCAATATACATCAGCATTCTTTTTATCAATAACATACATTTTATTTATTTTTTATATGTATGGTGATAACTTCAGGTTTAGAGAATAAATAGTATATTGTCACACTTAGATTTTGTGCAAAAATAATTATCATTATTAACTGTGCCTATAATTCCGGCAACACACCGCGCGACGGAGTTTAAATGGTGGCCTAGCACCTAACTCATCAAGCGTCAGGCGCAGGCGTGGCTCTAGCGCAAGCGCGGTGGTTCTCAGCAACGGAGGAAAACCATCACATCACCTTCTCTAAACAAAACAAAAAAAAAAGAATTTCGAAGAGAAACATTCTGAAATTGTAACAAAACAATACTTTGAATTTCTACGCTCCCAAATGAGTTTTCCATTTCCTTGTGAAGGATTTATCCTTTGGAGCTGTCCCAGTGTTTTTTGTATTTTCTCTTTGTCTGTCTGTCTGTCTGTCCCTCTATCTGTCTGTCTGGTGTTTGTATCCATTTTTATTAGACACGTAGTCCTCTAAACTACCGGACCGATTGTTTCGTATGTATATTAGAAATATTATGTAGACAGTTAAACGCTAACCAAAATTTTGCCAATCATTCCCACCAACAATTTAATGACGCCTTTTCAAAGGATACTATTTTAATTTGATGTAACTGTTACAACAATATACTTCTATATGTGTGGAGTACGAATCGGCTTTGAGTTTTTTCCTTAACCGTCCAGATTTTCGCAAAAACATAATGTACAGTGTAATGACAGTTTATCATTAGCATAATATATCTTGGTCGTGGTGTAGTGGTTAAGAGTTGGGAAAGCAGTTCGGAGATCCGGCGTTCAATGCCAAACTTGGCCTTTTTTTTCTCTTCTTCACTCGCATTGTGTATTATCCACGTTTAGGACGTCATAACAAATTTTTTATTGATCAAATTAAGAACGGGTCACCCCACTTTGTCGAAAAGATGAGAATACGCCCGTCTTTCACATTCTGTTCAACTGTGGCTCATTCAAATCAAAACAAATTTCTACATGACATTCTTCCGATGTATAAACAAGCAATTTCAAATGCTTGTTTCTATATCGGAAAGAAACTTGTTATTACTGCTGGGACGCTGTTGGTTGTCTGCTTTAAATGTATTTTATATTGTTCGTACTTCCGTCCGTAAATTCCTTGCAATTTTATTATTTATCACTTTATCGAGGTTATCGCAAAACATACATAGCAAAATCTAATTTTATAATTTTTCAAACAGCGAGAAAAGTTCTGTGGAAGTAAATTTCAAACAGTTTTTCATATTCATTTAAATAAACAAAAATTAGTTGTGATTATCTGTCTATTTATCATTGTTCAACATTTGTAGGTGAATTTGTTGTTAGCTAGGCAACTTTCAATCAGTAGTGTTTTAAAGGCCCGTTTTTTTACGCTTTTTAGAAACCAGGGATTATGATTCAGATATAATACAAAATATTTTAATTTATGAAAATTTAAGTTTTTGGGATGCATTTTAGAAATTCTTTTTGCTTCTGTGAACAATTTTATTAATAAAAATTATATTGTATCTTGCCTATATGGTTGAGGTTTATACAATCGCAATGAAAATAGCATGTTTGCGAAAACCTTTTCTTATAAAGTTTTCCTTATGCTTACAATTATAATTTATAATTATAGTTATAAGTATAAATTGTAACAGTTATGCTGACGGCTTAGAACCTTACATTGACAAGCAGAACTGACTTTCTGTCACGCAAATTGATTCATTTTGCCCATGAATAATTTAGAAATTTTGGCTACTTTTGGCAATACAGAAGATGTACAGAACTACTTAGTGCATCAGTTAATACAAAAAGAGTTAACAGAAAAGCGTTATTCATATACGTGTGTTAAATTCAACATGAATAGCATTCCGCCAGAAAACTTTCGTTTTCTTTTTCGATTTGAAAAAGAACATATAATTAAATTACATCAAGCTTTGCAAATGCCTGCAAAATGGGTTACACCGGATGGTCATGTCATTGAAGGTTTAT